AACACTTTTAAAGCTCTTCACAAGCTTAAGTATTTTCAGATCAATTTATAAAACTATAAGGGGAGTTTTGCAAACTATAAGGGGAAATTCGCAGAACTTCAGACAAGTCCAAAAATCTACAGTGAAAAGTAAAGAATTTCACAGAAGTTTAGAGATCTACTGAAAAATTATTGAACGTCAGAAAAGTTCGTAGACCATCAGAACAAAGCTACAGAACTTTGAAAAAATGTACAGAACTTCTGAAAGAATTACAAGAATGGTCATAGATCTTCAGATAAATTTGAAGACCTCCAAGAAAGTGTGATTATATAATACAGTTTTAGAATCTCAGAAATTTTAATTAATCTTCAGTGGAACTTCAGGGAAGTTCACCGATTTTAAATAAAGTATTCATACGATTTCAGGAAAATTTGTAGATCTTCAGAGAAACATTTTTAACTTTAATTAAGCTCAATTAGTTTCAGATAAATTTGGAGAACTTTAGGTAATTTAGAAGATCTTCAGGGAAATTTTCAGATTTTCAGGGTAGCCCGAGAGCGTACAGAGGAGTTTACAAAACTTCAGACAAGTTTGCAAATCAACTGAGAAATTTATAGAGCCTCAAGGTAATAGGTCTTGAGAATAAAACTTCGGAGCTTCAGACAACTTTACAGAACTTTAAAGGTATTTGCAGAACTTCAGAAGAGTAGATATTAAGAGAAATCTGTAGATGTTCAATGAATTTTGCAGATCTTCAGAGACATTTAGTAGTCCAATATTCTGCATAACTCCATGGAAGTTGGAAACAGATAGATCTGAAGAACTTCAGAGAAATCCGTAGACCTTAAGAGATGTTTTAGAACTTCAGAACGTACAACTTTCAGAATTTATGGAAGTCCAAGAAATTTACAGAACTTTAGAGAAGTTCGGAGATCTACTGAGAAATTTATTGAACTTCAGGGCAGTTCGTAGATCTTCAGAGCAGAAATACAACTTTACATAATTTTTAAGACATTTAAGGAACTTCAGAAAAGTTTAGAAAGATGATAGCAAATCTACTGAAAAATGTGCAGATGTTTAAATAAATTTTCAGAATTTTATTGAGTTTATTGGATTTTAAGAGAAATTTACAGAAGTTCAGGGAAATTCGCTGACCTTTAGATTTTATTTTCTTCCTTTATTTAGGAGATTTTTAGCCGTAGGCTAGTTAATCTCCGGCTGATCTTTAGAGATATTTGCACAACTTCAGAAAAAAATATTGATCTTCAAAGAACTTCCTTGCAGATATTTATTAAATCATGAAAATCTACGGAGAAAATTACGGAACTCTGAAGGAGTTCGTAGATTATTAGAAATTAAGTGAACATCAGAAATATTTAAAGATCTTAAATCTGCATGGCTTCAGGAACTTTGTAGATTTTTAGAGAATTTTACAGAACTTCTGAAGAACACACAGGACTTCTAAGAAATCTGCAGAACTACCGTGAAATTTGCAGATCTTCAGGAAGGTTTGTTGATCTTCAAAGATATTTTTCCAGAGAACAGAAACAAAAGTTCTGGAACGTCCGAAGGTCTTCAGAGAAATATGCAGAATTGAGATCTTAAAATAAATTTTCAGAACTCAAGGAACCATGTGGATTTTTAGAGAACTTTTCCCACTAGTTTGTCGAAAGTTGGTATCCACATCCTGGCCAAGTTTTGAAATCCTTTTTCGTCTTCATATCGCAATTCTTGAAGGACAAGATGAGCCAGATCCCTGCCGGTGTTCCCCCTGAGCAACAATTTTCTACTCCACAAAGTTTACCTTCACCTTCTCATTTTATTTAAAACAATAAAAGCAAATGCGCCTGTGTGGAAGTATTTACTTTTGATTTCTGATACAATTTTGTTTTGAAATTGAAATTGACAGTTCTTTCGACATGTGCAAGCAGTGTGAACGCCAACAAACAGGGAGGTTCGACAAAGTGTGTCGAAAAAATCGAGCAGATTTTTCAATATGGCGGCGATCAAAATCAGATAGTCTAAACGGACCTTAACTGGGCTGCGCATTTAGCCCAGTTAGCGAACAAGTACTGTAGTAAGTCGGAATTCGCTGGTTGGGCTTTTAATACTTGGGCTGCTTTTTAGTTGGGCCTGCGCTAGTTGGGCGGTGACCCAATTAAAAAGAATCTGGATGTCAAAATCTCTTGTCAAATTGAAGTTGACAACCAGACGTCAATTCTTTCTAGGGGTGAGCAAATGCATTTTACATTGCGTATTGTGTTTAATGAATGTTTATTTGAAATTCATACAAAAATGCACACATTACAGGTTTTGCTTTTGCCACTCAGCTTCAATCAGCTTAGTTCTCAAGGATTTGAGTCGCGTAACCTCCAAAACATCGTTTTCTACGTACTGAATGACCTTGTCAAGTGATTGCAGTACATTAGCGAAATCCTGCTTTGTTGTCGGTTCCTCATCGACTGTCTTGCTTGTCTGACTTGCATGCAGACTGATTCATCGATACCACGGAGAACGCCAGTTACAATCTCAACGTCGGTGTATACCTGACTAGTTCCACACAGCACATTTCCCTCAGAGTCTATAACTTGGTCATTCAACCATCGTTTCACATCACTTTCACTGGTCTGCGTTCCAACCATCTTGTCAACTTCTGCTATGAGCGATTTTATACAATCCGCATCTTCTTGTGTCGGATAGTCCTGTTCGACAACATTTGATTCATCATGAATTAATCCTGGAAACTCGTCAATAAGTTTATTCTACGAGTTTCTTATTGTGGAAACTGAGCTGGCCAGCCAATCCAAACACATTTTCAATGAAATGTTTTTTAGACGTTGATCGAATGACAAGTGTTCATCTTCCAAGACTAGTTTCAACATGAGCTTCCTCTTATATCGCGTCTTGATGGCATTAATTACCGCCTGATCCATCGGTTGGCATTCACTGGTGACGTTGGGTGGAAGATAGATCACCTGAATTAAACCATCATCACTCTTTAAGTCGCAACCATCATGGTGCGCCGAACATTTGTCCAAAACCAATAGCGCTTTTGGCTCAAGACTTTTTTCTTGACAGAACATTCTTACAGCTGATACAAATTCTTCCTCAAACCATTTTCGGAACAATATGCGTGTCGGTGTCATCCATGCTTTTTTCGAGGAATAGTACGAAACTGGTAACTCTTTATTTGCCCCGCGTGGGAGATCTCGATGATTTTTCGATAAACATCAGCTTGAGTTTAAGGGAACCGTCAAGATTAGCACAGGGCATGAATGTATACCTGGATCGGTTGAGTTTCCGACCAAAAGCTGCTCTTTCTTCCCACAACACTACCGTTTTAGATGCTATAAGCTCAATAAAAATTTCCGATTCATCCGCATTGAATAATTGTGACGCACTTATATTCATTGCATCAACACGGGCTTAAATTTAGCATATGCTTCCAGATCAGCAGATGCTTTCTCCCCACAATTTACACAACCACAACAAACAATGCGTGCACCCCCTCAAGAAATTTCACCCTTCTGTCAGTTGGCCCAACTAACGAATCGAATTCGTTAGTTGGACCGAGGTGGTGGCCCAACCAGCGAATTTCGACTGTAATATAAAAAACATCCCCAGGTGTCGTTCACACGATCAGTACTGAAAACCACAAACGGCCTCGAGGTATCGTACGTTCAAAGCAACCGAAAGGGTCAACCATAAGTTGTACCTCCTATAGCAATAGCTCGTTCAACGACAGTCCTCTTTTTTCTTCATCGAATATTTCAACATCCTCTCTGTGCTCCCATAATCTAATATTATTTGTGGAGCGCGTTTTACACATTATGCCATGGCCACAACAGATCGAAGTTAACCTACATTCACATGTACCTACAACGAACTCCTTGCCAAGAACAAAACCGACCGAGTTTGATGGCTTAGAAGAGGATGATTCGATTCCGACCTGACATCGTTTGCTGCCGAATGTAACTTCATACCTACATGCGTAGGTAACTAACCAATAACCAATTCGATTTTACCATGTCAAACCGAAACCACTGGAAAGGTTAACCGGGCCCGGCCCCCCGACCGGCTTCATGTTTCCCGATGAGACGATGATACAAGTATTAATGCAACGTATAATATGACATGGGGGTATGCTTTGCTACGCTTTCGTGGTGTACCTACTACTCTTTACATATGTGAATGTGTGTAATGGTGTCTGTGTGAAACAGTGAACGGTTGCATCTATTTATTTCTCTCTACGTACGAATGTAATGTAATGTAATGTTGCTAAACCCTTCCACAGCTCTTAAATTTGTATTATCCCTTTAAAAAGTGCCTGTATGTGACATAATTTCCGACGCTTCATCTCGTTTGCTTTTTTTTGTCTATTAACAATATAGGATTACACAGTTCTCCACGTAGGTAATTTCCTCTCAGCTACTAACACGGTTTCGGGTTCCTTGTTTATTCATACATAGTTTTCTTTCATCCAGCTAACTATTGTAAGTTACTAAAGTTATTGTTATTCTGTTTGATAATGACATTTTATCGTCTCAGATCCCTGGGCCATTCATGCTGCTGCTGCTGCTTCTTCTACTAAAAAAAGTTTACCCTCATAAAGCTTTCCCACCCACTTTTCTGCACCCTCCCCCCTCCCACTTTACCCACCGAAGTAGGAAGTCATTAGCACAATGCTGCTACAGAAAATGAGAAAACCAAGCTCATTCTAAAAAACGTCACCAGGATAGCTGAAACGACAAAAACTACGATGAAGAAGATTGGTCGTTCGTTCGTTCGTTTGCTCATCCACCCTTTTCCGACTACTACTGTGCGCACCGCGCATCAAATCCTTCCAGTTGCCGTCAGTACACCACCCCCCCCCTCCCTCCCCAACAATTTCAGACCACATTTAAACCACCACATTAACTGTGAAACTGAGGTGGCTTACCCAACCCCCACCCCCTCCGAATGGCCTACCTGTCTTCCACACCAATGTCAACCTGTCGGCCGGCTCATTTGCCATTTTCGCCTTCTTCCGTGGGGAGTGAGAGTGTGATTGTGCCGCATATCAAATCTCCATCGGTCGTCGCCGTCGTCGGTGGTTTTCCGGTTCTGGCTGACTTGCACTGCACACCGCTGTATAACGGTATATACCTACACAGTGGAGCGTCGCGGGAAGTTGTATTCTCTTCTTCTGTTCCGGTAAATTCGCCGTGTTGCTGCTCACGGCCGTTCGTGCAGTAGTAGCGGCATTTTAGTGGTCGTAGTAGGTACCTAGATCTCAGCAGTAAAGGCTTCTCGCGGACTCCCCGGCAGCGACATTTGCCGTGTTCCATATCTCTGCGTGTTTTGCTTCCTTTCTTTTATTCTTTTCAATATAGACGATATAAAATATCTACGAGTTTTTTTTTCGGTTTGGTGATTATTTACTTCTTTTTATTATCTCATCTCATAGTGTCTGTTTGTGTGTGTTTCATTTGCTTATGGTTTTTACTTTTGTTTAATTTAGTCTGTCTAGAGTTGAAACAATTTCATTACGATCTTTTTTTTGTATGTTCCTATCTTCATGCTTGTGTCCAGTGGTGAAAATTTCGCTGCTGTGATAGGATTCCTTCCACCAAGTACCACCACCTTGTGCCGACCGGCTGTTGATTCGTTGGCTCACACACGCCGCAGCAGCAGTAGTAGCACTCGTTTCGAAATGGTCTCAATCTCCGGATGTAGTGGTGTGCTGTTTTGGAAAGAACGGAAGAGAAAACAATGGCAATAGTAGTAAATGGTTCAGCAAGAAATCGTTTTGCAAGGATATTTTTAGATGACTTTGAATGGTAGGTGTCGAATAGTTCACTGGAATCTTAAGAAATACGGTGTAATATAAATTATAATTTCTACGAGTTGGTATCTCATTTATCAATATGAGCATGAGTATGATTGACCGCCCACGGTTGCTACTCTATTATTGCCAGATCAGCTGTAATTACACAGAGAACCAATAGACGATGATTGGGACTAGTATTCATCGTCAATGTGTAAAAACTGGTGATCTCAAACTAGGCAATAGCAGCGCCGGCCGCGCCCTAACGCAGGTCAAGAAAGGAATGGGTAGGAATGTGTTGACCTTACACTCGCTATGATGGAAGCTGAGGAGACCTCTGCACTTCCACAAGGAATCAATGGAATGATGGGTAAGAGACTGCTGAATGTATGCCCTAACGATCATATAACGGTTTGAACTCACGGTCTTCTGCTCAGTAAGCAAAAACGTTTGCCACTAGGCAAACGAGCTCCTTTTCAATCATCGAGTTGCAGTTATTACCATGTAGTCATTTTAACTAATAAAACGATTGACGAATCTTGAAGTGGACGGGCCTGAGATTAGACTCATATGATGTTCTGCTCAGTAAGCAAAAACGGTCGTTCAAAGGCCACCGAGCCCCTCATCTACATCATACCGTTACTCGAGTTGTTGTAACCATTCAAACCCGGGCACCGACGACGACGACAAATTTCACAAAATACACGATAAACAACCGATTTGACCATAAATCTCTTTAATTTGAAAGAGATGATCTTACAAATCCGAAAACTAAAAGCTACGAAAAATCATCTAGGCCTTCATTAAGTTTCACTTTCACGCGACGTTCAATGTTTCGATTTGCTCTTTTCGCATTGTTCAGGCTATCATAACAAGCTATGACCAACGTGACGATTGTTTAAGCCAGTGATGGAATTCTCACCAAAATATCATTTTCGCTTGCGATACGTTTTCTCTTGGGAACTTTCCCTCACTAGTTTCACACTCCAATATTTCCTGAGCGAACTTTCTGGGATGAGAGAATGAGATATCGCGAACTTTTTTAACTCGAATCACCAACGTGAGGATACGAAAAATATCAGAACATTTTTTCTCTCTATCTCTTTACACCACATTCGTTCTTGAAAATTGCACTGCACATTTCACAAGGGAAAGATTATAGACAGAAAGCTATCCCGAGTAAATCAATACAATCTCTAAAGACTGATAAGTCTGGTACCTGGCTGTCTACTGGCGCCTGTTGTTTAAAGTAGCCGTTATCAGGATGATGTGAACAGTTTTGTGCAACTGATTGATTGGTGCATTGGTTTCTGGCAAAAAAATGAATGAATCAGCACAAGTGTCAACGCGACATTAACGAGGAACGGGGAGGGTAGTGTAAGATTTTGTGACTAGCAATTTTTATATTAAAACCGTTCCTCAGGATAGGGGGTTGCGGAAGGAGGAGCGCCTAATGTATCCTAATTTTCACGAAATACAGTTAATACATGGCTCCTCTCATCACTAGTGTTCGTAATATCGTTCCTGTAAGCTCTTATGCAATAATTATATGCAGGGGGATGGTTGGGAATATAGGTGGTGGTGAACTTTTTCACTGTGCTATTACCAGTGCTGTAAATTCTCAAAATCATTTGAACATTTTTGATGAAAATGAGAAAAGTAGCTATTCGCTATCAAAGGGGACCTCCTCCGAATGGGTGATATCAGTTGCTTAGTCATTTGCATGGATCATTCTCATTTGAGAAACGCTATATATCATTCGAATGAGTGTAACCTACACACAAACGGAGCTCTGGTCGACATTCCGGCGAAAAAGCTAAGCCAACCCGACACCAACCTGACTTCTATCAAACCCCAACCCGATGTTGACCCGACATTGACCCGACATAAACCCAAAATTGACCCGACATCAACACGACATTGGGTCGACATTGACCTTAAATTAGCCTTACATTGATCCGACATCGGGTCGACTTGTCTGTTCGGGACCATTTTCCTGGATTTCTTCCATACTCCACTGTCGTATATCAAATGATACTGAGTGACTCAATTGACAGTGACAATGAGCTTCGAATGAGAAAGGGGCTCTTCAAATTATGGTCATGTGAGAATTCGTTTACACAGAATTGATTGAATGGTTGTAGTGGTTCATCTTCAATCGAATGATATGAAAATTTACAGCACTGGCAATTACTGTCCTCTCCCATGACTGGGAATCCTGTAAAACAATGTAAAACTAGAAAGGGTCTAGACCCTCCAAAACCATAAGGTATGCGGGACTGCTGCACTGCTGAACTTCAAAACGCTTTATTTGCTGACCAAGGATCTGACAAAAACATCTTTTTAGTGTGCAATTTAGGATGATAAAAAATTTAAACACACACTTAATTCGCCGATTTCTCGTGAATTAAAGTTCAATCTAAAAAACTAACAACACAGACAGGTAGATGAATGATTCATTTGGTATAGTATAGTTCGCTAGATTGTGCTTTGATTCGTGAGAAATCGCTGAATGACGTGTTTGTTTACAAAAGCAATTACGCCCAAATCTCAAAGTTCTCTGGAAATGGTATTTAATGTGAAGGATGCGAAAAATATCGGAGAACGAGAAGAAAACAAACAGACACTCTCGCGTGATCATCGCCTACCTTTACTCGCTGGAAAAAAAGAACAAAGCTGAGGGGATATTTGGTTGGTTCGAATCACGAGTACGTGTGAAATGATGTGAGATGGAGAGACGAAAGATCTTTCGCGATACGAAATGAAAATTTCTCTCGCTCTACGCTTTCATGAACTTTTTATCATCTCTCGTTCGCGAACTTTTTGTGAGAAGTTCCTTTGGGATTTATCTCTGCAATGAGCTGTGATAGAACTTTTTTTGAAAATGATTTTTCCAACACTGGTTTAAGCGCTGGTTAAACAAGCTATTCTAATGAAATTATGTTCTCGACAGCAGTCAATAATTTTCATTTTCATTCTGCAGCGTTTGGTGGGGCAATAGGAGCGCAAGTCAATCCAAAGCCGAGGATAAAGGAAGGGTAATGGCTGAATAGTCTATGCGGACAACTTGAACGCCATGGGAAAAGGAAGGGATTGAAGAGGTCGGGTTTTGAGGAAATGACACATAGTACTCGATTAGTGCTACAAAATGTAATGAAACCGAAAATACATCTCCCACTGATTCATCCTTTCACATATGTACAAAATTGATATTTAAAAGCAACCATATATGAATAGGCTAGTGGCTCATTTTAGCGAAGGCAACATATCAAGAAGACTGGCAACTCTTCCATTTTCTCGTACGACCGCTATCAGACCGACACAATCGCGTCATCTGCCGCTCCAAGGTAAATGCTTCGAACGATTTGATAGCAAAGATTACAACCTCAGAAGCAAGGTTTGTGTATTTGCTCATTTTTCTATGTATTACTTACCCCTAATAAAAATTGTATGGTTAATTTGCTTAACGACGTGTTCTGGGTATCATCCAAACCATTTGTGGAATAGTTCAATGGTTTGGGTTATTGTTCGTTTATGGTTATTTTTTATTAGGGACACCTTCACTCGAGCGCACCGCTACTGCATCTGTCGCTTAGATTCTGGCAGAGTTGCCAGTCTTCTTGATTTGTTGTCTTCGGTTTTAGTCACTTGAAGGTGTCTTCTTTTTCTTCTCTTCTGTTTTGATTGACAGTGACCATTTTTTTTTTCAGCAATTGCAAATATGCGTCTTTCAACAATATAGGGTGCTTTAGAAGGTCGCCGGGCTGCGCTCCATATTTGGATATGGCTGATATGGCTTGGAATCCACTGGTTGTCCACCTTCCATTCCCGGCATGTTCGAATGATCTCGTCCGCTATTTCGCTTCTCTCCAGATGCCTCTGACTATGATCCAACAGCATACAAGGGGCCTTATTACGGGTCTCACTTCATGGTGAAAACGAAGTGAAGTGACCAGTTGTCATTCACGATGAAGTGATTACCGTGTAAATCGAATGGGAATCACTTCACCGTGAGTGATAAGTTGTCAAATCTCCGTAGAATATGGAATGGAGGTTTTCAGAACTACTTGAAAGTTTCCAATTTTTTCCTGAAGTTAATGAAACTGCCGTGAAGTTCTTTTGTAGTTTGAGAAACTAGCCTGAGACTCACAATACTTCTCATCAAATTCATAAACTTCCCTGAACTAAAGTTTCCTAAATTTTTTCAATGATCATGGATCTCCTCTAAGCGTTTAACAATTCGCTGAAGTTCTCTAAACTTCTTTAAAATTTATGTGACTTCTCTAATGCGATGAGGTTGGAACTGCGATGAGGTTATTTGTTCTTTTCTGAAATTCTCAAAACTTCTCTAAAGTTAGCAGTTCTCATAAATCTTGTTGTATTGCGCTGAATTTAATTGAACCGCCCTAAAAATGGTTAAGCTTCAGTGAGCTTCTGAACGTATGCGAAGACCTCAATTAACTTTTTAACGTCTCGGGCTGGGAGCGACCACTGCTGTCAAAAATAGTGATTTAAGTGACCATTTTGAAGAAATAAGTGACCAAATAGTGACTTATAGTTGTAAAAATAGTGACTAAAAAGTGATCTAAAAGAAAATAAATGTTTGATGTTTTAGATTTATTTACTTGTATCATAAACACTTATGTACGGTATGAACCTTTGAAACGCAAGATTCAGTAGAAAATTTATTGCCAAACCCACGGTATTAGTCAGGGTGTCTACTAACTTCAAAAACCTGGAAAACCGGGAATCCTCAGGAAATTTATTTTATCCTTAAAATACCTGGAAGGCTCAGAGAATTTAATAATTTTCTTACTAAGAATATTTAAAGAAAATAACAAATTTTAAAATACAAGCATTTAATGTTTCTCGTTATTTATTTTCAAAATTTGAACTTTGTAGATCCACAGTGGACT